TCATCCACCAGGTGTGTTTCTAATGGGGTCCTGCAATAATTGGTTCTTGGCCCTATACTATTTAACATTTTTATCAATGACCTGGAAGAACACAAAAATCACCCCTGATAAAGTTTGCAGATGACACACAGATTGGGGGAGTGGTAAAGAACGAAGAGGACACATCACTGATACAGAGCAATCCGGATCATTTGGAAAGCAAGGCACAAGCAAAGAATATGCATTTTAATATGGGCAGACGTAAATGTATACATGTAGGAACAAAGAATGTAGGCCATCCTTGATCATAGTTTACAGGTCTCTACTTAGGGAACAAATATTTGATAATGGGCAAGGTATAAAAAATCCAGTGTCTGGAAGTTCAAACTAGATAAATTCAGACTGGAAATAAGGAATATATAAACAGTCAGGATAATTAAGCATTGGAACAACTTACCAAAGGTTGTGGTGGATTCTCTATCATTGGTAACTTTAAAATCAAGCCTTGATATGTTCTAGTTCAAAACAGTAATTAAGGCCTATGGTCTGTGCTATCCAGCAAGTGAGACCAGATGATCACAATGGCCCCTTCAACCTTGGAATCTATGACTAACCAGCCCCAGGTCCCCTCACCACAAGAGCATAGAGCAGTCCAACATGAGTCACTTTGGAAAACAGGAAGCCTGAAAATGGACAATTGCAGAACCATCATATGGGGAAGGGCTGCTGCATTTCAAAAAGCTAGGCTGAGTATTTCAGGGCAGGTAGCTTCATTGCTAAATAACAGTTGCAATAATCAGGCCCTTCTGAAGACTGGAGCATTCTTGCCAACTGTCACTTTAGCCAGAATTGCTTAAACCCTGTCCTGGGTGTTTGCATTAATGGACAACTGCCTGAGCTGTCAAATAAATAATAATAATCCTGACATCCTACCATTAAAGTCCACTGTGGAGAACAAGGCGACCTTATGGTGTGGATCAACTTGCCTGGATTATTTCTGGTACGTAAACATCTAGGAGCTGCTGTGCAGTAGGTGGCACAAGACAGGGAGAATTCCAAGTTGTTCCTGCTGGAGTGCTCATGAACCTCAAACTACTAGAGGGATGTTAAGCCCACAGGGTCAATAAATAGGTTAATGGGGCCTCACAGGCCAATTATGCTAGCTGGCTGCACCTGGAGGGTAGGCCAGATTTAAAGATGAAGGTCAGCTGGGGAAGGTTCTGGATGGTTTCGTTAAAGGCAGGACATGTGGAGCAGAAGGCGCTGTGGCAAAGAAAGGGAAGGAGATCTACAGTCCCTCTCCTGGCACTAGAGAAGTCAGCAGGATCAATGAGGAAGGCCCAGGGAGATCCTTGCTGGAGCAGGGAAGTCTGGCAAAAGGCCAAGACTAACCAGGAGCAGCCACTGGGGTGGAGCAAGTACTGGTGGTGAGCCCTAATAAAAGAGCAGGAACTTCTTAGGAGAGAGACCTGAAAGACATTTAACTGAGGAACTGTGTAAGGGAAAATTGAGTAATAACAGGTCAAGCCCAAGGAGGGCAGAGGTTAAATTGTACTTTTGGTTTGAGATTTATTGGGGATTCCATGAGGAGCCCTGTGAGTCCTGGCCCCAGGAAAAGGGAGAACCTAGAGAGATAGTGGGGAAGCAGCATGGTAAAAAGTGATGGTAAGCAGCAGCCCAGGGAGGTTGTAGGGACAGGTCTGAATAGAGCTGGACTTTTCACCTTGAGCTAAAGCAGGGGATCCTACATGCTTCCTGGGACTTATCAGTTAGAGTCCACCTGTCCTCACTATTATGGGGATCAGTGTGGGGAAGCTGCTTCTTCAGCAACCACTTCTGAGGTATCTGGAAGCGTACAGAGCACTTTCCAGGTGCTAAGGAGGCATGCAGGCCAATCAAAGCACTCTGGAAAGCTCTGCAAATCTATTTAATGAGAAACGCCTTTTCTCCCTCCACAAAAGGAGAACAATGCATTGCTGGAGTCCCAGGCCTGGTCTACACAAGGGGGGAGGGGAATCGATCTAAGTTATGAAATTTCAGCTACGTGAATACTGTAGCTGAAGTCGATGTACTTATACTTCCCACGGTGTCCTCACTGCGGTAAGTCGACGGCTGACGCTCTCCCATCGACTCCGCCAGCACCTCTCGCCCAGGTGGAGTACCGGAGTCGTCGGGAGAATGCTCGGGGGTTGATTTATTGCGTCTAGACTAGACCCCGGCTCATCAATCCAGCAGGTAATGTAGACGTGCCCTCAGATATCAACCAAGAACAGGAGAGCTGTGCCTGCAGTGCCTTGCTCGTGTGGCTGGGCAACCTGGCTTATAGCTGGTGAACAAGGTCAGTGAAAGCAGACTTAAGTTGAGCCCTTAGTGGTAATATAAAAATCTGGGGACATGAAAGAATCAGTTTTATTGCAACCAAGAGCATAGTCTGGGAGCAGCATCTTTATCCCTCAGCATTGGTTATGCCATTTCCTTTCTTGCCAGCGACTGAAGAAATGCTTTGCTAAGCCTGGAGAATGAGGTGCCAGGGAATACCATTGCAATCCAAAAACATTAAATTCATGGACATGATGAAATTCTCAGAAATCCCAACCCCAGGAGTACTGGAAAGCTCTTCAGGGCAGTGGACTGGCAGCTCTGTAGGCACTTTGGCAGGATATGTACATTACCTGTCATCACTTAGTGCTATGTGCTGGAGGGAATGGGAAGATACATCTCTCCTCTTTCCAATCAATGGATATCTGGAAGACGGTGTGGTAGCAGTCACTCCAACACATTGACCTGCAGGGCAATCACAATTGTGCTAGAGACACTAAAATAATCTGAAATGGCTATTGTTGCATCCCATAATAAATCACTGATATAACATCAAACTGATGAAGATTTAGTTGCCAAAAGGTGTCCCAGCTGTCAAAAAGGGACAGAAATTTTGTACTGCAAAAGCATGCTATGTATGTTAGCATTCATGGGTTTTTTGAATATTTTAAAAAGTAAATGGGACCTGTCTGGGTGACCCCCCTGCCCCCAAGCCCCACACAGGCTGGGTGGCCCACTAAGGTGAGTCAGGGAATAGAGCTAGCACTCCCTCCACAAGCTTCACTGCACAGGGCTGGCCTGAGCCTCGCCATTCAGGGCTGACCCGAACCATCTGGCGTCACTGCTCACTCCCTGATCTTCCTCCATGGCCTCCTAAGGGGCACACCCCCGTTTGAAAACCTCTAGAGGCTGTTGCTAAATGGAAGGCAGAAATCTGGGGGCCCATGACCCCAAGGGTGCTAGGGGTGTGGCAGCACTCCCTGACTTAAAGTAGTTTTCCATCATACACAGGGTTTACAGTTTTGTTCAATGGCTTTCAGCAACCCCACTATACAAATTGTTCCATCACTGCGTGCCCATGTGGCCCCCCCATACATGCATGTTGCCTCTGCCTGTCTCAGATGGGGGTATGCAGTAGACTACATTATTTGGAAAGGGGTATGCAGCCTAAAAAGTTTGAAAACCACTGCACTAAGGCTATGTCTACACTATGGAGTTTACAATGGCACAGCTGTACCGTTGTAAGGTCTCCTGGGTAGCCACTCTTTGCTGGCAGGAGAGAGCTCTCCTGCCAGTATAATCAAACTACCCCTGTTGAGATAGTGCTGTCCACACCAGCACTTTTGTCGGTGAAACTTACATTGGTCAGGGGTGTGAAAAAAAACACCCCTCATAGACAAAAGTGGTAGTGTAGAAAAAGCCTGACCCCGTTTTTGCAGAAGTGGTAACAGGCCACTCTACCTTGAATGGTCTCTTACAAAATGTGCTAACTACTTATGCTAAACAATCTGCTCCACCTTGCATTTAGCTATGATGCTCCCAGTACCTTTCCTAGAACAGAAGAAGAGCTCTGTGTGACTCTCACCAACAGAAGTTGGTCCAGTAAAAGATAGTACCTCACCCACCTTGTATCTCTAATATCCTGGAACTGACACGGCTACAACTACACTGCATGTGCCCGTAAGTCAAATATTTAATATTCTTGTTTTATGATGTGAAATATTAATTTACACTGTGGTATTCAGTGTATCCACTATTATGTGAATATTTTAACTGTAATTGTTACTGCAATAATGGCTCTCATCTACAAGCCAGGCAAATTCTTCAAAGAGTTTGCCTTGGTAGTTCAGTTTAAAATAAACTCAAATTGAAGTCACAGGCATGGACTGTAATTCGAGTTTTTAGACCCTCATCTGGCAAACAATGATTTCCATATTTAACTTTCAGCACTTGAGTAGGTCCCACTAGTTGCAACGGGACTCCTCACATGCCTGAAGTTAAGTATGTCCATGAGTATTTGCAGGATCGAAGCCTTTGTGAGAAAGTTATTCCTGTAGAGCAGGGGTAGTCAATAGGTGGACTGTGGGACAAATCCGGACCACCAGACACTTTTGAATGGACCTCAAAATCTATTTACTTATTATTAGGGTTTTTTTTTTTTAATGATTTTCTCTGGAGTCTGGACGTTGACTATACCTGGGCCCAGAAATTTGGACCTGGACAAAAAATAATTGACTACCCCTGCTGTAGAGTATAAAAAGGATTTCTTGAACAACCAGGAAACCCACAATTAAAACACCAAAATCATGTGAAGTGGTGGATCATCCACCGTAAGTTCATACTTCACTCATATCTGTTGTGTAGGTATGTTTTTTAAGTGTTTAATATACACATACTAAAACACTATGCTGTGATTACAAATATACAACGGGCTTTTGACTTACGCTTGAAATATATAGCAAGGTTCAATAAATAATGCAATTCACAATATAGGTTATTTTATGAAAGTTGGCTCACTGCTTTTTAAAAAAAGTTTAAAATGGGCTCGGAAAGTTTCTGAATCACACAAGATCACATTAGGTCAGTTATAAAGAATAAATTTGCACTTTTCCCCCTAGTACCCAAGGAACTCCCAGCTATTTAAAACTGTCCCTCTATAATTATTCACAATGCTTGTAACAAAAATAAATACAATTTCTAAGTCGTCTTTGGCATGTTGTAATTCAAGGTGAGTAATATTTAGCAGCATAGTGTAAAAGAAAAAATACATACTGTATAATGCACTACTGGATTCAGCCTTACAAGGAGAAGAATGTAGTACAATGCAAACTTTAATGTCAATATATACAGAGCTTTAAAGAAAACATCTTTTAAAAAATGAAATAAATACAATATGATACAAAATCCACAATATGTTTAGAGAAGGAACGATAGTTACAATATCTGACAACGGGGACCTTTTGTATAGTTCATCTTTGAAGTACCTCAGATAGCATATAATTGAATTGCACGCTTTGTTTTAACTTTAATGCCCTTTCATATATTGAGATTTATGCCCAGTCACATGCCAAACAGTTTTAGCTATAATCAGAGTATCAGTGCAAGAATGCCAAAGTGCTTGGGAAATTATGACAATGCAATAGTTAGCAAATGTTCATAAGCCTAATGCAACATACATATTATAGAAACACTTTGCCCTGCAAAGGAGATACCTTCTTGCTATTTTTTTCAGTACCCTAACAAAAACAGGTGTAATTACTGCTGATTACTATAAATGGAGTTTGAATGATTATTTCTGAAACACATTTATCAATAAGGGGACTTGCCAATTAGAGTTTAAAGATCCTCTACATACAGCTTTCAAAATTGTTCTTTTCATGAAAGAATTTGTTTTTCTTACATAGAAAAAACCCAATAAGAGACAAGGATTTGTATTATAAAAGGTTTAAAATAAAAATAAAAATAAAAGACTAGTTACTCTACTATTCAGTTTTAGCCACACAGCTGCTTTTCCTCAATTTAACTTCCGTATTATTTATATTCACAAAGAAATATGCAGTTTTATCAACAGTCAGGAAAATATTGCCGTTTGGGAGCAATTCTTAAAAAAATACACTGGAAAGGAGGACAGCTAGTATTCCAAAATCACTTAATTGAACAGTTGCTAATACAAAAGTGTGTGGTAATATAACCAAGTACAGCATTTGTCTTCTATACACACACACACACTTGGTAACATGTATGAATGCTTTAATAAGTGATTGTGGATCAACTGTTGTGTCAAATATATTGCTCCTGTGATATTATATAACTAAAGGATCCCCCCTGCAACTTTACTATAATTGAATCAAACAGGAGGTAACACACTGAAAATTGACTTTAAAAAAAAAAATCTTTCATTTATCTTAAACACAGGCATGCTTCCAGTTTTTGGCTGGGAGTAAGAAACGTAACTGTTATAGTAGTGCACAAAACCCTGTTTGCATGACTATTTTAGCCTCATTCTGTTGACTAAGTGTGGATCACCACCACACTTTTGGACAATTTATACAACTGAATCTCAATCTTTTGCAGGCTCCCCCCTCCTCTAATTGTAATATCTGAAAAAGAAATTAAGTACTTTGATGTTATAGCAACCTGTTACAATGCACTGATGAACAGATGCCTACAATGAATGGCTCTCAAAGTACATCTTAAAATTTGCTAGAAATACTGTTTTAATTATTGGATGTTTCAATTAATTAATTTTTTCAACTCTTACAATATACAGTGAGTGTACAAGTTTTTTTAATTAATTTTTTCAAAGCTAAAGAGAGAAGGATAAGGATAATTCAGCTCTATAAATGGAAGTCTAAAGATAACAACTGACTGGTGTGGGGTTGGCTTTCATTTTCATATCCATGAGATGTTTGAGGTGTGTTCTCTGGAAGTACACACTAGGCAGGACATCTAAGCTATACAGCTGTGCTACCAGCAATTGGACAGCCTTTGTACAACCACATACATCACAAGTTTCTAGTGTGGCCAAAGGAATGCTCTCCTTTTGAGCATAAGGAAAACACATAAAAAACTAAAACCTGTATTCAATAACTGGTCACAAAAGCCAAAACATGTTGGCTTAAGACAATCTGCCCATACTGAAGCTCCCTAGATACTTCTGATTCTGCAACATCTGCTGTTGGTGCCACTGCATAACTTTTGAGTAATGGGGCCAGGAGCATATTACAGATGTTTACATTTTACAAATAACCAGTACTTCAACGAAACAATCTCACAGTGCACAGGGTATGACACCTTTAATTACAGACCTGCTCCAGCTCAAACTTAAGTAAATAGGAGTCTTGCCACTTACTTTAGTGATAGCTGGTCAGGCCCTACGTAAATATGTATTTGAGAAAAAAAGGCTTTGATTACAATTGCACTACTGAGACTATGACTTTTGGCAGGCTTCTTGCTGGGGAATGATATTTGAGACATTAGCCCGTGTTGGATCATATTAGGAAGATGGTAATTAGCACTACAGAAATCCCTATATATAAAGTAGCTCTCCATTCTGTTTTTATAAAGGATGAAAGTAAAAAATTCACTACAGTATTGTAGCTTATTTTTAAGTCAGTACCCACAATAAAATGCTAACCAGTTTACAGTCTTAGGGTTGCCAACTTTCTAATCGCACAAAACCGAACACCCTGCCTCGCCCCTTCTGAGGCCCCACCCCACCCCAAACCTTCTCCAAGTCCCATCCCAGTTCACTCCATCCCCTCCTCTTTCTGAGGCTTGCTCTCCCCCACCCTCACTCACTCATTTTCACTGGGCTGGTGCAGGGGGTTGGTGTGCAGAAGGGGTGAGGACTGCGGCTGGGGGTGCAGCCTCTGGGATGGGGACAGAAATAAGGCATGCAGGAGGGAACCCTGGGCTGGGGGGTGGGTCCCGAGAGGTTCAGAGTGTGGGAGGGGGCGGATGTTCCGGCCAAAAACTGGACACCTGGCAACCCTATCTTTGACTGTGTAGTAGCTATATCTACATGACACAAATTATACCTTTCAATAGCCCCTACCAAAGACTCAAATAATTGTAATTATCTTCATTTTCAAACAATTCACAGATTACTCATGAGGAGTTCATGTTGCTTACCTTTTAAATTCCATGACTACTGGGTTCTGCAAAACTAGCATTTTCCTTTAAAATGAGAAAAATCAGTTCAACCGCCAAAAGAGTATTAATGAAGATTGTGTCATGAAACACTGTAGGGGGGTGTTCTGCAAATGTGAAGGTGAAACTTTATTCTGGATTCCAGCAATACCCACAGATACTGAAAAACTGACATGATGAAATTTTAAGCATCTAGATAGGATTTTGTTTGCACTAGTTACAATAAGTGTGTCTTATTCCCAAAATAAAAGTGGAAATAGACATGCTACGTAGGCCTGATGTTTTGTGTCAAATATAACAGAGGTGTTGTCTACACAGTTTGTCTTTGTGAAAAGATTACCCCTCCAATGGTGCAGCCAGGGAAACCTTATTTTTGCCCTGGGAATGCCACTTGTAGTAGAGCTTAGTGATGTTCTTATCTAAACAGCAGGATTGACTTAGAAAGTGTTCTAAATTCTATGTTCACCTATCAGCATGTCTTTGTACATTTTTCCTCTTTACAACTCCTATCCTCCACTCCAGGAAGATACCATTACATGTTAAGTATCTTGGCCTGCTTATTACTGATTTAGTGCACAATACTTGTAAGGTGCTTATTGCGCGGTGGGTCTGAACAAGTTAGGTGAAAATACCAATGCAAACACTGCTAAATCACTCATGAATAAAACCAAAAAAGACCAGCTGCCACTTTAGGGGGGAAAATACTGAAAACAACTAAGCTTAGCATCTCAGATGTTCTCTTTCCCGCATTTTTATTACTTTAACATTAAAATCTACATTACAAATGGACCTTTGTTTTTAAATGTGCTTTTTGCTCTTTGTTCCGTATCCAGAGTCTGATTTTTTGTGATCTCAATTTTGATAGAAATAGTTTTTAATATTACAAATGAAATTACAATATTAGGTGGGAAATATGGAGAGGTGTACACTTAATTGCACGCAAAGGTCTCTAATAATGAAAAAAGCATTGAACATGCAAGATGCAGAATTCTTTCTAAGTAGTATTTTTCCCATGTGGCAGCTGTGTTCTTTGTTACTTTTCAAGCATTTCAAACAGGCACCTCAAATTAGGTACAAATGGGCCCTAATATTTCCAACACCCTATTGTACCCAAGAAATTGAGTAGCAGGCATGACACACTAGTGTACATATGTTCTTCATTAAATCCCATACTACAAGCATCCCAATTAAAACACTTAATTGTTCAGTAAGGCAATTCCTACCTCCTGCACAGCAATAAGAAGTAACTAGCAGCATATCTACGGTATTCCCAACGACAACAAAAAAAGCAGCGAGTCACCTCCACATTTTAGGATGAGTTACTGCTACTTTTGTTATTCCAGAATCCCCCCAAAAGCCTTCACACCATTGTATTATCTCAGTATGCGAAGTCTCCCCCTTTCCCCCAGATTAACATTTTATGATCTGCTATAAAAACGTTATGGGATTAGAAATTCAATGACAGCAGACAAGTCAGGACAATAATTGATTTTTGGTCATAATGATTCTCAATGTGTTCAAATTTAGCAAAGTATACTTTCCTAATATTTAAAATGTTTATCACACTACTATATTAGAACAATTGTGTAGTAGTGTCTAAAGCTTCATGAAATGCTTTATTTGATCACATCCTCTGAGAATTGATTGAGGTTCTAGTTCACTCCTAGGTGCAATTCAAAGTGTTGGTTTTGCTTTAGAAAACTCTAAAATCATTTGGGACCTGGTAGTACTACAGACTAACTCTCTCTCTGTGATATACCAAAGTAGTTCAGGTGAGCTGAGGCACTTAACTAAATGCCCCTATATTCAAACAGAGAGGGAGAGGACAGCAGGATATTTTCAGTGAGGTCCACAACTGTGGAACCTACTCCCCCTCTTTGGTCAAAATCCTGTACCTATTGACTTTAAGGGCACATTTCAAAGCTTATTTTCCCAGACTTCACCTGTGGTTAGCCAAGGAAAGGGTTTTTAATAGGGCCATGTTTGTAATATTTGTACATGTGCCAAGGGACATAGGAGCAATTACATACATTTAAATAAATAAAACTAATAAAACTATGTGCCAAAAATGCTACAATGAAATATCAGTTTACCTAACAATCCAGGATAAGCTAACATTGAATATACTGCTCTTCAACAGAAAAGATTGCCAAAGGAATCGCAATATAGTCCACGTACAGAGGGATAGCCAGGTACTGATGGACAGCCTTTGATACAGTGGATAAAACAGCTTTATGGAAGTTGCTATGCCACTATGGAATCCCTCAGAAATCTGTGATCACACAGAGTTTCTGTGAAAATATGTCCTGCCAGTAATACATAACAGTGAGCTAAGCCATTTGAGTTTACTACCAGCAGCAGACAAGGATGCCTTATGTCACCCATGATCTTTTTACTGGTAGCACATTGGGTAATGAGAAAGACCACAGAACAATCAAGTAGCATACAATGGAGTTTCACACAAAAGTTAGAAGATCTAGACTTTGCAGGTGATATCAACTTGCTATCCTATGCTCAGAGAGGCATGCAAGCTGAAACAAATTATCTTTGGGCATATGCACAATTAGTAGGGTTGAAAATCAACACACAACAAGAAACAGCAACACTTTCTGGGCCTGACATAGAATAGGTCCAATATTTCACATATCAAGTACAACAGGTAGGACAGACATTAAAGTCAAAATAGCGAAAACCAGACATGCCTTCATAACTCTAAAGCTGATCTGAAGAAACAGAAATCTTGCCCTTCAAATGAAATTTCGAATATTTAACAACATTGTGAAGTCATTCTTAACAGATGGCACTGAAACTTGGACACTTAAGACCTTACTATCTAACCTCCAAGTTTTCATAAACAACTGCCTGAAACAAATCCTTAATATCAGATGGCTGGTGGGGAAAGGAGGGGGGAAATCGAACTCTGGAGGACGACGAAATATACTGATAGGTCAGGAAATTATGGAACGAAAATGAAGATTACTAGAACATACATGGAGGAAAGACCCAAGTAACATAAGACAGGAGTTGGACTGGAACCCCGAGGGCAAGAGGCAACAAGCTAGACCAAGCATGACATGGAAACACACAATAGAAAGTTATCGAAATGATACAGGAAGAGCTAAGACTGTAGCAAGAGACTGTCAAAAGATGGAAGGCAGTGGTGAAGTCCCTATGTTCCTCATGAGATAGGAAGGCATAATTCAGTCAAGTTACAAAAGGATAAAGATAACTAAAAGCATATGGACTACTTGGACTACTATCACATGTCCTATCTAAAGTAGTACCAATCCAGGCTCTCACTCTTGAAGACTTAGAATATAATCATTTTCATAGCTCAGTACAGAACACAGTAAGATCTTTTATGTTGAAAACAGAGGGTGTTTCCCCAAGCTTATGACTATTGACCAGTGGTGGGCAATCTGCGGCCTGCATGCGGCCTGTCAGGGTAATCCGCTGGTGGGCTGCGAAACAGTTGGTTTATATTGACTGTCTGCAGGCGCGGCCGCCCACAGCTCCCAGTGGCTGTGGTTCACCGTTTCCCGCCAATGGGAGCTGCAGGAAGCGGCGTGGGTCCACCACTGCTATAGACAGAAATACACACTGACATTAGAGACACCCATTCCCTAAACAAGGTCACTTGTTATCCAGTTGTTTGGTTTAATTTTATGGATGACGTGCAATGTCTCAGATGCACACCATTTTTTAATATTTGTACACAAACCTTTTTAATTCTGGGCACCAGGCAAGTGTAGAACTCCCGTATTAGCACTAATGCATTTTGCACTGGCACAATAAGGTGGTCAGTCTTGTCTTCTAGCATCAATGAGTTAAATGAATGGAGTCCATTGGTAAGTGCCCAATTACAAAGTAATTTAAGTAAGAACTTGCGGATTTTTTACAAGTGCGTTTGATGGTAAAAAGACTGACACTGACACTTTTTACGTACAACTTGGTTATTGGTAATGGTCCCCTAAACCACTTCTTCATGAACCCAGCAAAACTATACAGTATGTAAAGAATATTTGCAACAAACCTCTGAAAGGACAGTGTACGGAAATACCTTATGATCTTTGTGATGTACCCTGATGTTTAAGTTAAATAAACATGGACATCGCCTGTAAAACAACACAGTGTGAATCCCCCTGAACCTGTGGATTTTTTTCTTTTAAAAGAGGACTTTTACAGAATTCAAGTAGTGTAGCAGGAAACCATATATGTCTTTCGATCACAGGTCAGGCAAATATAGAGCCACTTATTGGATTTTCCTTTGCTCCAGTTTGGCTCAGGTGCCCCAGTGGATCTATAAGTCTGTTGAAGTTAGCTTTTTCATGCTCCGTCGTTGAGCTAAACTTGAAGCTGCGACAGGCTCTAAGACTGGCTGAAATGTCTTGTGATTCAGTGCAGAATACGTGGCAGCCATGGCCCCCTAGAGAACAATGAAATCCACAAAGATTGTAAAGGTTATCTGGGAATGAAAACACTGAATGTTAAATATTAATTCTTTATGAATCCTGGAAAAGCCACAGAGAACTTGTTAGGGCAGAATTACTTTTGTAAAACCTTGTATTGATAAAGGGATAATTAATATTTATGCCTGGGTCCTCAAGGCTTCCGAGCATGGGTTCTTCATAGACCTTAGGTCTGTTCCCTCTTCCCAGTAACATTTATTTCACTTTCCATTAAATTTCCTCTATGTTCATGAGGCCAGCGGTGCAAGTAGAATTCATTTCTTACCAGTACCCTGCACTCATGGGAGGGACACAAAGGGGGGGTACCAGCTAAAGGGGGGGGGGAAGGAAGGGGTCACCTGACCTCCCCACTTGACCCCTCCCCTCCCTGCCCCCAGCCCAGGGCTCACATGCTCTCCCCATCCCCTCCCCATGATCCATCCCACATTACTTGGGGGCCCTCTGTCCTTCTCCTGCTGCGCTGGAGACTTCTGAACTGCAGGGCTCTCTAGAACAGCTGCAGCAAAAGGAGTAGAACGTGGGGCTCCTGCGCGGCCTGACGCCAGCAGCTCCTCTGACATGGCTGTACTGCCCCCAGCCCTTGCAAGCAGCTGGCTCTCCCGAATCCTGTCCGGGATTTGTACAGCAGCCCCACCGGAGGACAGGGCTGGGGGCAGTACAGCCATGCCAGAGGAGCTGCATATTCTGCTCCTTTTGCCGCTGTGGTTCTCAGGAGAGCCCTGCGAGCACCAGGAGGCGCTAGCCAGCCTGAGATGATCCTGTCTGAGATGCTAGGTACATATTCAGGGTAGCTAGATCTTCTTGGTGTTCATGCTGCCACAGCTACACTATGTTTAGCACACTAGCTTGATCAGAGCTAGTGCAGGTAAGTCTCCTCATGCTGGAAGTGTAAATTCCAGCTTGATGTACAGACATCGCCTTAGAGACCAGCCAAACCTCCAGAAAATTCTCCATCTGGGTACGCGTATTGCCCCTATTACTCTAGTATTTAAAAAAATAGAAAGAACAGCAACAATCTCTTCTCTCAGCCTCTACGACAAAAAACTTGATAAGTTCGTCAATATTTTGTTTGAATGTTTATGAGTGAGTGTGTGCATTGTGATGACAGAGAGAATGCTAATTCTAAGAAAGGTGTTCAGCATTTAGCTCTGAAAGTGGCTGGTTCCATAGTCTAGGACCAGCTCCTGAGAAATCTCTATCTTTTGCACTCATGAACTACCTTCAACAGTTTCATTGTTCTACACAGTGGGAGGTCAGTTGCAGAAAATGGATGCAGAGGTGATTCTCAAGTAACTAGGGCCAATCCCCAAGAAGGGGATTTGAATACAAGGACAGAGACTTTGAACTCTGCATTCAATGAGGAGCCAGTATAGAATGGATGACTGGGTGAAGTGTTCATAGCAACACAAGTTGCTAAATGGCCAGTCTTCCCTGTTTAGTACTACTGGAGTTTTTGGTGGCGATGGATATTCTGGAATTCAACTGGAGGAGCCAAAAGGAACCAACAGTCATGAACCAAGGTAAGGGCATACAGTGAAGGATGCTACAAAAAAGGATCTAAAGGGGAATTTCAAACAGAGTAGGTACTCCCCTTCTCACTCCACATACTCCCTTGTGATCTACAAAGTCCTGATTCCACAGAAATAGGGCAGAGGGGCTTATCTGGGCAGGGGAGCAAGCTGGGAACAACTGCCCTCCTCCTCATTTCCTCTGCTAACCCCCACCATAGGGCTCTCCTCCACTGGCATTACTGGGGAAGGAGGGAACAAGTACCACCCCCTCAGGCAACAGAGCAACTATGGAAAGGACAACTTCAAGTGAAACACATACAGTAAAAAATAGATTAACCCCTTTTCAACAAGGTCCTTATTTCCATGCCAACATCCTCTGTAATAAAAAAAATATATTGAAAAATCCCAAAAGCCACATCTGCAGTTTAGGACAGGAAGTGAAAAGCCATCCTATATCCAGCTGAAACTGCAAGTGGAATTTAGGCAGATGATAATTAGCAGAGTCAGAAAAAAGACTGCTTTTCTTTCAAAAGTGTTAAGCTCACACGTATTGAGATGGAGGATTTTTTGTTTTACCTTAACTAGATGTGGCGCATCTTGTCTGTTTAGCTGATAATGAGGCAACTGGTCCCTGCAGGCTATCCACGAGTGTTTTAATACTTGCTCTGCCGTGTATCGCTGATGTGGATCTACATGAAGCATATGGGAAAGCAAGTCCTAGATTGAAATGATAAAAAACACATATACAGTTGTTACATCCAAATATAAAGTGCCAGAAAGTTAGTGTTAATTACTAACAACATGAAAAAAAACATTTAATTCATCTGGAAGGATCTAACAAGCCACACCAAACAAGGAAATCAATAGCTGAAGTGGGGCATTCTGTGTCTTGACATTTCAAATGTCTGAATACAATGTGTGACACTAAATAGGTACAATGAAGTCTGTTAAGAGAATGAGCATTCATTCTAAATAGAGCCTTATTAGAATGTTCATGATTTTTCATATTTCGGTTTGCTTATGAATCCAGTCATCTTTCAGAACAAGGGCAGAAATAGTTAGCACTAACCCATTTGCCTTGGATCCATTTTTTCCTAGTGGCAGATTCTCCTCCTCATTTCCGCTATATTGTTTGTCTGGACTACCAGCTGCAAAATCTAAAACTCAAATATAGTGATATGCCTCTGAAGTTTTTCCACTTTAAGGTACAAACTTGAAAGGTGAAACTGACCAGAAGTGTACATTTGGTTTTGCCCTATTGGAGTATTAGGAAAGTGCTATTTTAAGTTAATATGCAATTGCAAGGTTGGTCAAAAGAAGGTGGGAGAGAGATTAATTAAGACAGTAGTAGGTGGAAGGAAGAATATCAACAAAAGCAAGAACAAAGAATGATTACTGAGCAATTGGAGTAAGGACAATACGTGGCATTTAAAAAAATATATCAAGAACAAAATAAATCCTAGTAATAGTATAGGTCCATTACTAACAGAGATGGGGAAATTGTCACTAGTGAAATAAAGAGACAGAAGTTTCTTCAGGTATGTTAGCAACAAGAAGAAAGTCAAGGAAAGTGCGGGCCCCTTACTGAATGAGGGAGGCAACCTAGTGACAGAGGATGTGGAAAAAGCTAATGTACTCAATGCTTTTTTTGCCTCTGTCTTCACAAACAAGGTCAGCTCCCAGACTGCTGGACTGGGCAGCACAGTATGGGGAGGAGGTGACCAGCCCTCCATGGAGAAAGAAGTGGTTCGGGACTATTTAGAAAAACTGGATGAGCACAAATCCATGGGGCCGGATGCGCTGCATCCGAGGGTGCTAAAGGAGTTGGCGGATGTGATTGCGGCGCCATTGGCCATCATCTTTGAAAACTCATGGCGATCGGGGGAGGTCCCGGATGACTGGAATGTTGTGCCCATCTTTAAAAAAAGGGAAGGAGGAGGATCCGGGGAACTACAGGCCGGTCAGCCTCACCTCAGTCCCTGGAAAAATCATGGAGCAGGTCCTCAAGGAATCAATTATGAAACACTTAGAGGCGAGGAAAGTGATCAGGAACAGTCAGCATGGATTCACCAAGGGGAAGTCGTGCCTGACTAACCTAATTGCCTTCTATGATGAGATAACTGGCTCTGTGGATGAGGGAAAGCAGTGGATGTGTTATTCCTTGACTTTAGTCAAAGCTTTTGATTCGTTCTCCCACAGTTTTCATGGGAAAAATTTTAAGAAGCATGATCT